TGGTTTTCGCTAAATTGTAACATAAGCTGAGGGTCACAACGTAAAGGTTGACCCCAATAAAGGATAAACATGTGGCGCAGACCCCGCTAAGCAAGGACACAATGTTCAATTTCTGTACAGATTACCTTCTTCTCATTGCTCTCCCTCGAGGGGCCCTAGCTATAGACAAGAAAGACTTGGACTACTACCTAATGTACTGACTGACAGACCGAAGGCAGGGAAGGCCTGCTCCCTTTTCTTTCTTTCAAGTAAGAAAGCTAGTCCTCGAAACCGAAAGGCATACGTCGTAGCTACTCTTCCTACCCGGATTTACTTACTGAGAGATGGCCAAGGATTGTATACTTAGGAACTCTCCGTGGTTGTGTGTTGTTGAACTGTGTGTCCTATTTTCTTTTGTAAAGGCTTGGTGATAAATGAAAATGCTGGCTAAGACAACCACGACAAACTCGTCTCGTTGTTACGTGGAGTAGACTGAATGACCTAGGGATGATCGAACCTCGGAGCTTTTTTCGTCGAGCATTTCACCCTCTTTACTTCGCTACGCTCAGCGGCTCGTAAATAACCAATTTCTTCTTTGTTGGGAGAATAGTTCCAATGGTAGAACAATGGTCTCCAAAACCACAGGTTAAGGGTTCGAATCCCTCTTCTCCTGATCCAACTTATAGTTTTCCCCCTTCTACTTCACCACGCAATTAGGAGTGATATTGCCTCCCAGTGACCTGTGCCTGTCATCCCATCCCCTCATCGAAGTCCACCCCCTCCTCCTCTGGGATTGAATATCCATCCCTTGCTGACAGCACTGGAAGAGAGGAAAGAAAGAGTAGTTTGGGTGCGTGGTTCCGAAATGACACGCTATTCTGTCTCATCCTTTCCCCTAGGAAGAAGAAAAAGGAGGAGGGAGCCGGGGAAAGGAAGACTCGGACCCGCTTGTTTGAATCACTGACAGTTCGGGAAGATTATATATATATGTATATATATATATATTGAACATGTTAACATTGTATTGAAAAAGTGTGACTAAAAATTATACGCGATCCACAGGGTGGAACCTCTATGTACAAAAACAACACCTTTTCATACTGGGTGCACTAAAAATGTGAACTGTAGGCCTTTCTTACAAAGTCGGATACATTATATATTACAAAAAATAGGCCATAAAAAATGAGCCATCCAAAAAATATTGTGTGTTATCCAGCGACGCGGCCTCCTTAGCTAGGGTGTCAGCTTCCTAGTTTGATTCCTGCCAAATATGCCTCCATGAGACGACCATATCCCTCTGCATAGGTATGCAATTTCATCAAATGTGCACCAAAGACCAAGGATAGGGAGAAGAATTTGATGCTCAACGAATAACCATTTTTTAGTCACCCTCGATGATAATGGGGGTATTCCTGTGAGGAGTAGCCTGATCCCCTCAAGTAACGCCAGGACTTATGCTGTCATTGAGTTGGCATGGCGAATATTTTTTGATACAAAACCGAGGGTGGATCCATTGTGGTCCCTGTGAAGGGCCCCAATACTTGAGGGACCGGGGTTTCCCAGGGAGCATCCATCAAAGTTGAGCTTGATTTGACCCAGGTCGGGGGCTCTCCAAAAGAGAAGCTCGAGGAACACTGTTGTGTCTAAGTAGAAGGATGTCTTCCCAATTAAGAAAGAAGGCCCGATAGGGCACTCCTTTGAAACTCTTATGGTTGGTAGCTCAGAAAACAACCCAGGATTTGATCTTAGCAAAGAGGGCAGACACAGAAGAGTGCTCACCGCAGAATATTCTGCTGTTGCGCTCAATCCATAAAGCCCAAATAGTAGCTGCCACTGAGGCCTTTCAAAGTAAGGTGCCTGACTTGGGCCAGGGAGATGGGTGGATGAGGTAGTGGACAATATTAGGGTCTCTGAGTAACCCGGATCATCCCATGTTTGTCTGAAGATACCACAAGGGAATAACATCCGTATAGACCATGGTTGACATTATGGGCACAATAAATGAATGAAGAGTTGGCGGAGGGTTGAATTTGACATTAAGGATCTTAGAAACTGAAACATTTTCAGGATTAAGGTTATTACTGTTTCATGATAGATTGCATAGAGTACCAGGGTTGAGGGTTGCCCCACTTTTAATATGTACACCTAAATTTTATCAAGGGAAATTTATCAAATTACCCATGAAAGATGAATAATTTAACACTTTACCAATATGTTTTGATTTAATTTTCAAAACACCCATAAAGAAAGCATGGCATTGAGATAGTTGCAAGTCAGTCAAATGTTAAATAATTCATCTCTTATGGTTGTTTTGATAAATTTCCCTTTTATTAATATATTATTCTGCTCTTGTCAAAAAAGGTTATTAGATCAAGTAATCTTCATTCCGCAGAGGAACAGGTTTTTGACTTTCTCAATAAAACTACAAACTGAGTGACGCCATATAAAACATAATTTGAACAAAGGTGATAATGGTATGTACGAAACTTGTGGGAGGACTCGTGCATCTCACTATCACAAGCTTTGACATTGCATACGATGTGATCATGGTGAATCAATATGTGTGCCCTTTGGCCCTTTGAGAGATAGGCATCAGCTTATAGGATCTTAAGGCAATCAAAATAAGGTATTGTTTGTCCTCTTGGTGGTAATCTACAGATTAAAGTTGTTTTGCTATTCACTAGGTTGGGATCACAATCAGAGCTGAAGTTTGTCGATGGTTCTGGTACTTTGGACATAGCTGCCAGATTAAGTGGATGGGTAGGTATATAGCCATGACCTCCACAATCCATGAGATCATCTGCTTCCTGCTTTCGTGAAGGTGTGGTTTTTGAAGTCGTGAATTACTTTTAGAAAATTTTCTATAGATAACTTAGAAAAATCCTGGTTCTTTGATGTGCCAGGATCAAGTGGTCAACATATGCAAAGCAATGTTATTGAAAGAATTCAAGTGTAAAATACTTTGAGAAAAGTACGAAAACCAAAAATTGCAATAAGCAAACAAGGACACACACAAGGTATAAATAGATCAAAATTTGTAAGTGTTCAATCCAAGTCCTTATCGGAAAGTATTATCATGTGCATCGAGGCACGATTATGGCCAACCTTTAAAAGAGATAAAGATGAAGTATAACTTCAAGGACTGAGCTAATTACTTGTCTCCACTGAACTTCTAGAATCATGAACATGCAAACTTGATCGCTTTCATGTTTTGCAAATATTTTAGTTTCAGCATGAGACGAGGTCATGGTTCTCTTTTGGAGATCAATAAGCTTTCAAAACCTTTGAAAACATAGAGATGCTTAAGAGGCCCAAAGGGCTTTCAAACTCTGTAAGATGAGAGCGATCGGGGGCCCGCCACTCAGATATGGGGCTTGCACCAAAACATGTTAGTTCACTTTTAAGAAGATTGAGGTGCAAATCCTGTGTCATAGTATGCACAACAATCCATGACTTGTAATGTAAGTGGCACACCTGTCAGTCCTAGATTCTGTGGTTGGATGGCCTGGCTAACCTGGTTGTACTCTAGATTTTGTGTCTGGCATTCCGCATCCAATCCCTCTTGGGGCCCTTGGTAATAATATTTCCCGGTGCCGATCTTCTGGTGAAAGATGGAGCTAGGGCTCTAGGAGAAGACCTCGCCTAGACAAGTTTGGGGTTGCAGTTGTTCAATAGAAGCTGCCGGTCCATTTTTTGCTCTGGACCACAGTGGGCGTACCTTCACTCTTGCTGTAGTTCTATAGTAGCCGTCAGTCCATCTCCTTTTTTGCTCTGGACCACAGTGGGCGCACCCTAGTTTACTCACGATCCAGTACATCCCTTGTAATCGGGCAATTCTATGAGCCCCAATTTTTTGTATAGGGTCTTTTGACCTATTTTTTGACCAAGAGACCCGACTTGTGGGTTCTCTCGATTTCTCCTTCTGTATCATGTTACTTTCACAGCAATACAAAAATTCACTTCATCAAAATAATAATAATATTTCCCTGTGCCTTGCTAACATAAGGATTGGAATAGGGGACACTCAAAAACAGGTATGTATATGTGTATGAATGCACATGAATCATCTTATGTAATGGAAACTCAGCTATCCAACAGGCCATACCGATCATATTTGCTCCCTGCAATTGTGCAGCCTATGTCAACAGCCTAGTCTATGAGTTTGGGATCCTATGCGTCATACCCTAAACCAGATTATGCAAATAAAGAAATGCTAGACACCATCTGGGGTGATGGGTTGATTCCTTACCATAAACTCTACTGCGGAATTATTTAATTTATTCATTCGTTGCTTAGTTTTCTGGGCTCTTATGTTCAACTATCCTAACTAACTGCATTGTCTATTGGGGGCACCGAATTTAGGAGAGTAGGCCCTTGTGTTAATGAGTTTCATATATCTGTGTCGTTTTGTTTTAGACTTTGGAGGGCCCTGGTGAAGGTGCATCCAAGAATCTATGGCAGTTTCGCTTATCATTCAACCAGGATAGCCATGCTTCCTGGATTTGAAGGATGCAAGAAAAACCTAAAATATTGTGTGAGTATCTATAATAGCTGGTGTATTTTAGAGCATGCCTTTCGAACTGTGAGGTGCTATAATCATAGGATCAGCATGGACTTATATAATTAGTGTTGGTACCTCCAAGGGATGCTTATGATTGCTTGAACAATATCTATGAGGTTTCTTTGTAAATGAAATTCACCAAGCCTCCTCTTTGGAGCAAATCAGTTTCATTCTTGTCTCTTGCAAAATAATTTGTTTTGTCTTGAAAGTTGCCAAAATAATTATATCTATGGAGTTACTTTGGAGGTTTCAAAACCATGAGGTTCTCAAATCACAGTACTCTTTTGCATTTTTTATGTGATTTCTGGACACCAAGTCTTTATTTTTTTTGTTCTGCTGGTGGCTTATGGATCTAAACTCTAAACCCATATTCTAGTAACTTGTACTTGGGAATTTGCTAGCCTGATAACACATAAGCTAGCTATATGATGTGGTCTCATATTGTCTCATTTTCTTCTAGATAGAGATCTTAAAGCGACTTCAGCGAGAAGCGTTCTCTGATTTGATGAAGCTCAGGGAAAGACAGGATAAAACTGAGCGCATGCTTGCATTCTTTAGTTCTACAAAGGGAAACCCATTCCAAGAATCAAGTACTCATATCAAGGGAGAGGTCGATCTTGGGGGAGCCCTGTTGTTCTTAGGGGAGAGAAATTTTAGCCAGGTTCATAACATCTTGGATGCTATAGGAATGAGGACTGGAGCCCATACAAGGTTCACTTTTCAGACACCTGTTAGACAGAAAGACACTCTGGTCACTGAATTTGTTGCTTCCCAGACAAATGGGGTTGTTGGTGGCACACTTTCTCTTGGAAAAGTGCTCTATCTGGCAAATATAACTGATTGGTTTTCTTTGATTGCTATTCCAGTGGGTGCTATTGGGAAAGATCTTGGAACTGTTCTGAATCCTTCACAGGTAATGATGACCTATGTGTTTGCTATAAGGCTGCATGTATGTTTTTTTTCCTGACAAAGTAGACTTAGTCCCATTGACTGTGGAAAACCATAGTCCATTGGGGTCATGACTATCTGATGAATGATGAACTGTTGGAGAGAGATTGTGACCCACCACGAGCAGGACATGAATGGTGATTTCTTCTCTCTCCATCACCATGCATCATCTCATTCGATGGTCATGATTTTCATAGTTCTCTGGACGATAGTATACATTCCCTTTCTTTTCTTATTCAGTTCTTTGCCTGTGACTGATCAGGCACTCTCTTTATCATCAGGATCATGGTCTCACTGATTTTTCAGCGTTGGGTCCACCTGTCTTTAGTCAGCCCCTGGGTTGTGCTGCTGGGATAACCCTACAAGGACTAAAAGGTTCTGCTTCTATGGCTGAGCTTGTATCTGGGTTTGGTGCACAATCTGGGCCTGAGAATGATAGGGAGGCTAATGTCTACGGTTTCAGCACTTTTGCACAATTACTCATCCATCTTGCACAGGGGACGAGACTCAGTCTTTATGGTCTTCATCGCAATACCCGACCATTAACAAAAGGTTGGAAACAGGGAACACATGTCATTTCCAATCTCCCATCAGAATACCCCTCGGGTTGTGACACATCTCGCGGTATGTCAAGTTTAGATGCTACACACAATAATCCCTCAAATTCATTGAAATCAGTTGGTCTTATGCTGGAGTCTGAGGTTGATGATAGTATGAGAATTGGAGGTTGGTTTGAGTATCAAAAAACTGAGCTCAGGTCTTTAAACTGGGCTGTCTCTATTATAGATGATTCTGATAACGGGCTAGGATGGGGTTTCAGCGTTGGGGGTTCCACTATGAGTTCTGCTACCTTATTGGGAACAGTACCACAAACGGAGTGTGAGAATAAATCTATGCAACTACAATTGGAAGCCTTCCTTAAATTGAATTTGGGGAAGAGATGCAGCTTGCAGCCTGGATTTCTTTGTGTGGTTGATGGGCAAACTCGAATTCCTGCCTTGATGCTTCGATCAAGGTGGCACTTTTAAAGGGTAGAATTTCCTGTGAATATCAGCATTTTATGGTCTTGAGAATGGAATTCTTTGCATGCAAGGTCTGTCTACCATTTCATATTCACATATGCTGTCCATTCTCAATTTTGAGACACTATGATCCTCATTTCCAGGTATCTTTGGCATCTCTCTTTACATTTGTTATTTGTAGCATGATTCATCCAACTAGTAGAAAGCAAAAGAAAAGGAAAGATCCTTATACGTGCATCAATGCTTACTCAGTACATATTCTTCTCCACAATGAGCTTCGGATAGCACACAATCCATTTTTCCCCAGCACCATCTGTTTTATGAAATAGTTAAGGATTGAAAAAAACAAATCTAGTGTGGACTGCATCCAAATAAAAATTTTGTAGTTTCAAGCGGGCTGGGGGGAATTGGTGTTGATTAAGTTATTTTGGCACTCCTCGAACAAGAAGATATGTTGTTCTTTTCAATTTGTTTTGCTGTTTCTTGTCAAGTTTCTTTGTCCTTAGTCTAACCTACATGCATTTCTGTAACTTTTGATTGGATGGTTAAATTTACTGATGAGCATTTCTGTGACAACTCTAGTTAGTTAAATCATTCCCAGAAAAATGTGTGATCTTGCTATTTTGTAAAATGTTACTGTAATTTCTTGAAGGTATTATTAGTTCCTAAATTAATACCTGACTAGAAAGTCTATGTTGGCTTTTACCACTCTATTCTGAGTAGTTTTTTAAAATGTTGGTAAACTCTAATCTGCGAGGAATTATCATGGTCCAAAGATTTTCTTCTGAGATATGAATACATATAATAAAACAGAGTAGGAAGCCTCAAATTTTTTTTTGAAAAGGGAAGCCTCAATTATTTTTGACCTCCCAATTATGATCAGCTCATTGGACAGTTTGGCATGCACTATTCTGCTTAAACTGTTCTCATAGCTGAAATAAACCGAGATATTTAACAGCCAAAGTACACTGCTGACCTGTAATCCCCACAGGTAGTTGGGTGGTTGAGCAAATACCACCATTCTTATCGACCTTAGGGCTAAACACTAAGTACATGGACTATATTTTTTTGAATTCGTTGATTTGTACATTAAATTATTAAGTATAAAAGGTGTACACTGTGCTCGTAACATTAGCTGACCAAAATTGTGGACAGAGTGTATAGTCTTGTGCAAAAAAGAAAAACAAAAAAAGCAGGTCACCCACTCCGTTTGGGGGTGAGTAATTACGAAAGTTGTGCTGGTAACCCCCTCTTTGGCTTGTGTATCCTCTACTGCATTAGCCTCTTGCCAGGTATGCTTGAAGGTCACTGGTAGTGATCTTTAGTGTACAGAGATTTGGTCAAATACTTTTCTCTAATCTTCATGGACACATGGAAGCTCTCTTAGCCCAATTTGTCACATTCTTAGAAACACCTTCCCCTAGCAGTGAGGAACAGCAGCTTCTATTGAGCAGTTTGACGTCTTCAAGAAGAGCTTTGGCCTCGGTTCGATGTAACAACCCCAAGCGGCCTGTTTAAGACAGCAGCAAAGCATCTCCAAAAATACCCCCGCCTCTGGTCCTGAGTTTCCAAGAAAGCATTCATCAAAATTGAGTTTAATAGTGCCTGTTTCTGGTACTAACCAGTAGTTAGATCTAGGGATAAGATGACTTTCCAGTTAAGTGCTAAATCGGTCATACTCTAAATCTGTCAATGAGTATGACCTGGAGCCCTTAGGTTTTTTGCCCAAGAAACGACAGCATCTTGATCCTATTCTTGATGGCCCTTAACTGAGACTCACGAACCTCAGATCTGCCTATTATGTTCCAGTCAGATGGCCCACACAGAGGCAAGGATGGCAACTATGAAGCAAGCTCGAGGCGGGGAAAGTGGGGGAGAAATAGGTCACAGATAATTGCTTTATAGTCGCCTGGTGTAACCCAGCAGCTAGCAAACATATTAATTAGGAAAGAGTAGATCTGACCTGGCACAGAGCAGATTGATTCGTCACTGGATTTACACAACTCATTGGCTAGTGAGTGAATGCCCCTCCGCTGAATATTTTTGATGGTGCGAGCCTTTTCGCTAATGACAAGCCATCTAAACATGCAGGAATGCACCAAGCCTTGCCAGCAAACACAGGGGCCTCGCTGTTAGGCTGCAGATCATTGAGAAAGGATGCAACAGAGAAGGAGCCGGAGGACATCTCCTATAAAAATACCAAAGAGGAGGAGCCAGAGTACACGGACAACATTGAAAAAGCAAATAAGACGTCTATTAAGTTGAGGAATCTGTATAGTAAAGTACTTAATAAAAGGAGGAACACCTAGTAGATATTAGAAGTTTCTGGGACATCTGATAGAAGTACCCTTTCAATGAAAGGAATTAATTGCTCATAGATCCTTTCTTGTTTTTTAATGTAAATGATGCAACCAGATATAAATCCTAGTAGATATTAATTATTTTTTACTTTTGAGATATCTGATTGAAGTACCCTTTCAATAAAAGAGGAATGAAATGCTTATAGATCTTTTTTGATGTAAAAAATGCTAACAGATCCTCTCTCTCTCTCTCTCTCTCACACACACACACACACACACACACACACACACATGGACACACCCACACAACACCCACAAACCCACACACACAGGTGCAGAGAATTGGAGTATACTGTTGTATAACTTTTCAATTTGGAGTTTGTGAAAAAAAAATTGAATTTGGAAACGCAGTCTTACATATGCTGCTTGCAAGGGAATGATAGAAATTAGCTTTTCTGATCTGGATCATGATTTCATTCTAATATACACTCTAGTCTCATACTCGCCTAAACAAAAAGGATAAAGAAAAAAAATGAAAGATATTATTCGGCTGTGGCAAGACACTCTCTTCTATAGGAGTTTTGAAGTGCAACTTCCTTCAATAGTATAAAATCAATAATAATGAACCTAGACGCTTCCCCAAAATGCCATTCTGTCTCTGTCAAGAATTAATCGGCTGCGGCAAGCATGCCCACTAAAAAGATATTGGAAGGCCAGAGATGTGTCATGTTTCGAAGGAGCAAGAGCCATACCTCCCAATTACAAAGCTAGTAAAATTGCAAATTGTTTGCTGCTCAACTCTCTCTTCTGGGAATCCAAACTTTGGACTTGTGGAAGGTGGATATTTTTTCAAAGACGATTCTTTCAAGCCATTACGTTGCGCTGTCCCTTTCCGTACTATCAAATTATGACAGATAAAGGAAAGCAAGCTTATCAATTTATACAAGTGTTTAAAGTATCATCATCATCATTTCTAATTATATGAAGTTGGCTATACAAATTTTGGTTCGCCGTTTTGTTCTGTCAATGGTCATAACTTCAATAAGATCATAAGTCACCATATTTTTTCTCACTATTAATAATTATCTTTTTGAACCTACCCCTTACCATTTTTGAGTCCGAATGGTTAAAGTATAATGTAGCGAAACATATTTAGGCTGTTGGGTTTCTATGATGTTGACATAGAGAAGACTGGCAATGGGCCTAGCATCGGTTGTCCAAAGTCGACCTAAGAAAGTCCTCACGAAATCTCAACATCTGGAAGAGGCAATCTGGCTTGGATACGATTGAAATTTGAGTAATAGTGATTAACATGCATACAATATAACCATCAAAATCACAATTCATTAGTTATATATTATTTCACTTTTAAAATATATAGAGAGAATATTTTATACATAAGTATTACCCCCTCTTGCAAAAGCAATCTAATCTCTTTCTCACAAATCAAACCTACTTTTTCTATCTTATTAGGATTATTATACGCTACGCCTCTCCAACATTAAGCTTAGAATTACCTACTCTAAAATTTTTAATTATAATTTTTTTTTTAATTCTAAAATGTCCCCTTATATCTAAAAATGACTTTCACATATTTAAGGAAGGGTGGCTTCATTACTTCAAAATCGTTTAAAAAACAATTCCAAATTTTTAAAAACCCTTTTGACTTTTTGAATCATGTTTGAATTTGAAAGCAATTTCAAATTACAAATATGCCTTTCTTCTAAATTGCTAGAGAAATTGATTGCTAACGTAATTTTTATATGTGTTAAGGGAATTTTGTGGCTAAATATCCCGGAGTGGGGTAAGAAATTCCAAGGTCACCATTAGAATGGTATAACCTAGAAAAAACCTACACATACCCACACAATCATACATACACACACACAAACCTACCAAGTCCAGAACCCCACAGCAGCTCCAAAAAGTCTAACCCATACTTGGACCTGGGCTGGGTTGACCCTTTGGTTACCAGGTCAACCTGATCAGAAACAATAGTATGGACAATATAACCAAGATTTTAATAAATTTTCAAACATCCATGTTGAAGAGGCAGATTAGGAATGAATTTGCTTACTAAGAAGGGCCTGTTTGTCTATCCCAAGTAGGGCTGCATGCAATTCCACGAAGTCACCTTTCAAATGTACTACCCGCTTGGAACTGGGCAATCCAACTTCCAAGACCTCCCTTAGAATGTCAAACATTTTAAGGGGTTAAATTGAAAGTGATGGGGGGGCCGAACTGGGTTTTCTGGCACCTGTTGGTCACAATCCATTCTGCCTCAGTATTGTGTTTTTAACAGCAATATAAAGGCAATCGAAAAGGTAGATTGAAGTCCTTTGAGGAGCCTTTGGCATTTCAAACATACTGACAATGCTCTTGGCTGATCCCACAGTTCTCTTGGGGATTGATAAGTGATTGATAAGTAAGGCCAAAGACGCTTCATAGCCAAAGAACAAAAGATAGGCCCTATCTTTGTCCCTCTTACTGATGGAGGGTATTTACTGATTCTTACACCATTGGCATTTTTTCTCTCTTGGTGATGTTGGTCATTTACTATAATTCCTTCTCCCTTGGCAACTCCAAATGCGAATAGTATGTCAGTGGGGGGAGGGTCCGTACAATCAGGTAGAGATGTAGATACTGCATAAGGCAACTTGTGTGTGAGCTATGGGGTTTACTCCCAACAACTAAACAGTTCAATTTACTGAAGATCACATGATTTTGTTTGCATGCATTTTGTTAACCAGCTGTCTGCCTAGTGGAGAACATGCTCTCTGATCAGCTGTATACAAAAACCAAACCTTTCTAGGTAAAGTTTCCGAATTGGGTGTGTCCGGCTCATATCTATCTGTAGTTAATATTTTCATCTGTAAAACCCCTGCACATGCTATTTCAAAGTAGAGATATTGAATAATTTGTAAATAAACAGCTGTAACCTTACTGAGCATCTTTGTAGAAAGGTACACAGGCTCATGAGCATAAAACATTGACATCCAAAGTTGAGCTGATCTTGATGAATTAATGCAGTGAAAGGAGCATCATAGTGATTTACCTTCTTCAAAAAAGTTAACTCAGAATGTTCCTCCTCAAAGATCAATCGGACTCCAATACACATCTTGCATTCTTTGATTCATGCAAGAAGTGCATTCTCTAATCCAAGAATAATAGCGAAAGCAAGAGCAGTTTGATGAGCTGGAGACTTAAAGAGGTAGCAAACGTGAACATGAAAGCTTTAGAATCAGCTAAGAATCAAAATGACTTGAAATGGATGAAAAACATTATCTCGAAACCTGCTGGAAAATCCTTACCTTTGGAAGTGGAAACATCATCCTTGGGAGTACAGATTATGCGTTGAAGGCAATTTTTCATTTATTCAACTCCTAACCACTCAAGCAATCCAAGTTTCCCATTTAAACTTGTGTGTTTAGCACCTGGTAACTGCCATATATCATAGGTCAAGAGGGTGACATGACAACTAGTAAATGAAGGTTAAGACAGCACAGCCCAATTGCAAGTAGTAGGCTGTAAAAGGTCGTAGGTTTTAGTTTATTTCCAAGAGCTTTTAGGATTAAGGTGGTTCCCACTTGGAAAACTCAAATCTCCCCCAGGACCTTGTTCTCAACCATTTCCACCCAAAACCTTCTAAATAAAAATCTTCCTACTCACCACTTAATGGATCTAATAAGTATAGAAGTGTCTCACATGTGGCAGGTAGCAAAATAATAGCCTAGCAGGGACAGCTGACAAAGTCCCACCATTCATGTGGGAAAAATCAATTTTTTATATACATGAATGGAGCTGTCATACAATAGACCAAGGAACCTTGATGTCTCTAATGGGGAAAGAGAAAAATTACGTTGGTTACATGTGTCCACTGCATCAATTTGAACTCGAAGAATCCAGCAAACACAAATGCTAAGACTCAGATGAGAAAGTAAGATTCTGCGAGCACTTTATCACGTGAAGGTGTTATTGTCAGAACTCATAATAGGGTAACCCCAAAAGGGATGGGTATTCCATCTCTTTGATCCCCTTCTAAGAGATAATTAATGCTTATTCTTTGCTCCTAAAGAAACCCCTCTCTTTTTGCCCAAAGAACATAATAAACGCAATCTTTCTAGGAAAACACGGGTGATGAATTTGGCTATCATAAAACCTAAAAATCTCTATTTGATAGCAAAATCACAAAATTTTCTTCGCGGATCTCCATTGGATAGAATTCATCATTTCTTCCCTCTTGAGAATAAAACTCACTATGAAATTCTTGCAAACACTTTACTTCTATATTTCTCCACATCAAACCATGCATCCAACTTCCACATATATTTTCCTTGGCCCCAAAGATACACTTTGTGCTTTGACATCGATTGCGGGGCTCTAAAGAACTCTTGCAAAACTAGGAATTCCTAAATACTGGGATCGCACCCACGATGGTGTATATAGTTGGCCAAATGTAAAATAGATGAACGCAACACACAAATTCTAATGCAAGAAACCAAGCAAAAAACGAAAGTACACCACAATAACAATTTTACGTGTTCATCCCAAATGGACAACTTCCACAGCCTCAACAATCAATAGGGTTTAGATGTACCTTTCTCTCTAAGCATTGGAAAAACCATCTTTGACATTCCCATCTAAACTTGCTCTCTCAAAACATACCACATATCAATCTCCCTATTTTCCACTGTTATGCCGCTATCATAAAGAGACCTTGAGAGCATTTGAGAAACTTTTTCCCTCTATATATGGAAGTAGGACAAGTCCAAAACCCAATGAAAAACTGCCTCTTGGGAGTCATGCTTCTCTCTACATGAGGCTCCTCATCTCTCTCTTGGAGGTCCTACATTTCTCTCTCTCTCTCTCTCTCTCAGCTATGGATTCATGACCCCGAAAAGGATGGGTATTACATCTCTTTGATCCCCATTTACAGATATCATCAAAGCTTTACTTTCTCCCCGAGTTTTTTACTAAAGAGCATAATGCCTCCACTCTTTCTCAGGAAACATAGGAGTGATGATTTTGGATATCACAAAACCTAGCAAATGAGAAACTTGTGGCGGCTTGAATTTAAATTAGACATCACGCACATCATTGCTGAGAAGATTGGTCTACCATTTAAAGCTGCTCATCAAATGGGTAGAACACTTCAAATTTAGCAAAGCCAACTTTCCCTTTCATCATGCATGTGCGTGTGGGAGGAGGAGGTGGTTGGGTGACAGCAGATGTTGTGCGTGGTTTTAGGATATTACACATCCACCGTGATAAGATATTATCATACTTATGTAATTATATACATGCGCATTGGACATGCCCTCATTCTAGGCTCCTAAAACCTTGGTAAATGCAATATATCGCCTCAAAGAAGAAATAGGTTGGCCCTTGTATCGCTGTAGCCTTTGTAATGCCACACATTACTCCAAGAAAGGATTCAAGAAGACTTCATTAGTTTATACATCAGAACAACATCGAGTAAGTCCAAGCTCCAAAGCCCATCCCAATGGCACAAATCCCTCAAGAAACCAATGAAGTCAACGCTCTCAAACTCAAAGGGCATGATACTAATTTCCAAATCATAGAACCACTAGAAGAAACAGAATATTCCATTACTTGATCCACTTAGGCTTCTCATCCAAATCAATTGATTCCCCTACTGCTTACAATAGAGCTAAAGCACGAAGCAGCACCATACAGGCCAAAATGAAGCCAAAAATGATGGAAATTCTCGGAGACATGGAAAATCCAAATACTTAGAATTGAGTTGGGAATGTAACCATTCAATGCCTGTACTCATTAGAATAAAGTTGAAGGCTAAAGCAACAATATAAAGTTGAAAAGAATGTCCCTTGATGAATGAGAAAATATCAAATATCCTTCCACCAAATCATTATGTAATATAAATTACACCTCTCAAGGTAGAAAATCCCATGCCAACAAAATACATCAAAGCATTAAGCCATATAAGTTCTAACCACAAGTTTAACAACCAGAGAGTTCCTAGAGACTCAACCATGTCAACCCGCCTCAACAGCACTGAGTCCACCAAGTCTTGCAGAGACTCAATTGGGTCTCACTAAGTTGATTTAGATAGGCACTTGGACTCTGATCCAAGTCCATCTTTCTAAACTACGCTTCTAACCGATAAAATGTGCATGAATTTCTTAAAAAATCAACTGACTCACTCGGTGGTTGTGAAGATCCAACGTCACATCAATTTAAAATGTGACGAAATCTCCTTTTTTTGGCCAGACATAATGTGATCAAATATCACCAAAGGGTAATTTTTATAAAACATTCACCTAAATGGCTTATCTGTCCCTTTTTTTTTCTTTTGATGAACTACGTGGCTTACTTTTTCAGCTTCATATGGAGTCAAAATTATGGGATTCATGAAGTTGAGAAGTTCCTTAAATGTAGACAAAGACACATGTCAATGTGTATTTTCAGTGTCATAGAACACCCAATTATGCAAACTCTCTTTGAATAAACACTGTAATCTAGATGTTAAGCATCTTTTACAGAGAGTTATAGCATGATAGTGTTATCAAGTTGGATGTTCTCAGTTGGAAAACTGTTGTTTTCTTTTTAATAGTTAATAAAAAACTTAATATTCAAAAATCAGATCTAAGATAATGCAGTTCTACATCTCAGTGTTCTCGACTTAAAATACAAAGCATGCAGATAATGCAAGAGCTTGGCAGTATGTCAACAATTAGAGCAGGTAAAAATGGCTAAGAACTATTCACATAGAAAGGCTTCGAAACAGAATCCAACTTACTTCAGGATTTTCCATTTATGCTCCAAAACAAAGAGAGGGAGAAAGGAAGAACTAAAGTTTCTAAATGGCTCTTCCCAATCACCTTGTTTGCGGTTCAATAATTAAATCTCTTGTCACTTAAACACTTCAACAAGTTGTCCACTTCTACTTCCAGATCTTATTTTTAAAATTGCACTACTACTATCTAGAAACTATAAATGCTATATCTAATACAATGCTTGAAAATCAGCTGCAGAAGAAGTAAATAAACATGTTAAGGGAAAAGATCACATGGTGATAAAAAAAATATAACAATGGCAATGAGAATAGTTAATTCACATCATTATCATTTGTGCAAATTAAGATGCAAACAAAACTAAATAAACTAATTTCTTCACAAATGTCTACTGAGTATAAGGAAATTGTATTTGATTAAAAGAACCATAATTGAGCTCCATGTTGAATGTGTAACAGCAAATAAGACATGGACATTTCAAGAGATCCTCCCTCACGATAACCCAGCAATGGTCTCTTCATGCTGAGAGGCTAAACAACATCTACCTAATGTTCACACCTTTCAAACAACTAACCATGGTAAAGAAAGGAACTTCCAAAAATGATTCCAGACACCATATTCACCAAACATTTATTACAATAAAAATTCCTCCAAATCCACCTATTTAACAACTTTGCCACAATTTATATGAACAGCTAATTAACCAAACAGACTAATCTATCTAACTCCCACCAATATATCAATTTCTTCAGGTAAATTAACCCAGTAGTTCAGTACTAACTGATATTTTTCAATTGCATATAAGCCCCTCTTTAATGCTGAGGAAGCCCTTGTTCTACTGTTGCCCACATCTCAGAGTTAGATGGGAACTTTTCCTTCATTTCGCCAATGATTTCCTTTGCCGCTTCTATCTTTGAAAGCTTGACAAGTCCATTCACAAGAGACTTCATAACCTTAAAACTTGGAACCCAATCCTTCTCCATACTCTCCCTGCAAAGCTTAAACGCAGGTTCATAATCCCCACCTTCACAGAGATAATAAAGCAGCGCAAAATAGCAATTGCTATCAGGTACACAGCCCCTGCTTTTCATTTCAGAAAATACCTTCTTTGCCTCCTCCAAATTACCTTCCCTGCAAAACCCATAAATCAAATGATAAAATGTTGTAGTGTTGGGTCTTACTCCTTTGGATACCATCCCCCTAATTAAAGCCATTGCCTCTGATGATTTCTTCAATTTACAGAGACTCTGTATCCTAACATTATACGTTGTAACACCAGGATGACAACCATTCCTCTCCATAAGGTCCAAAACCACCCCAACCTTGTCAAATTTCTCTTCTCTATAAAACCCAGCAAGCAAATTGCCATAAGATATTGCATTGGGCTTGCAACCCTTCTTCCCCATTTCCTTCAAGAGAGCCAAAGCAGAATCAGAAGAATCTGATTCACACAAAGCCTTAATCATAGTATTATAAGTAACTGTATCAGGTTTAATACTATAATCCTTAGAATACTCATCAAACAACCTGGCTACCTCCTTGTACTTCTTTGCAATTATGCAAGAAGAGAGCAAGGCATTTAGGGACTTAACAGTTCTAGTCAAGTTGAGATCCCCCATTTGCTTGAAAGTTTGGATTGCTTGATCAAGCATTCCAGCCTTCCCATAAAGAAGAATAGCTTTTACCATGAAACGTTCATTTTGGAGGTCAGGTCTCTTCTTGTGCTCTTCGATGAACTCTCTAATGGCTGCAAATGACTGAGTAGCTGTGAGTTTCTCGACTGCAACAGTGTAGGCCACTCGATCGAGGTGACTCTCAGGAGTGAGAGAGGCCTCTCTGCATATCTGGAGTATACGTTCCGGATCTTTCTCAGATTTGAGCAACGCAAGAGCCGCTCTGCTCTTCTGTTTAGAGGTGAGGAAGGGGAGGCCCTTTGTGTTCAGGATTGATGGGGATGAAGCCGAGTAGTTTCGACAAAAAATGGCGGAAATCCTCAAAGCAAAGGCCATAGTTCAATGGAAACTATCACTTGGGCTATTCTGAAAGTTTGTTTTCTGTTTCCTGCCTTTCCTCGGATTTTCGGGGTTTTAAACTGTAAAAGCTTACAGGTAGAGGTAATTGCTCCTGGTTTTCCCAGCCTTTTTAAACGGTTTTGAATCCTCTAAAAACACCTAAAACACTAAAGACTATTTTGTCTGGCTTTTGAACCCTAAACCCCTAATATCGAAAAGAGGGTTTCACTGCGATAATCATTTTCAAAGACTGGAAAACTTAAAACTGAGTTGCACTAGTTCATACCAAAACCTAGAAAAACAGAAGGAAACGACGAAAACACAGCGCAAATATATTCTTGAGAGAGAAACAAACCAAATATTACTATTGTTCAGCAATTTTGCTGCTGGTTTCCACTGATTCAGAACAAGTACCAGGATTCCAGCAACGTCAGTCCGATCAACATTGCATTCTAGTAGCTGTTAAATATAATAGGTTAGGGTTTTCCGTAGTGAAGGGCCGAGGAGCTTAACGATGGCGCTATAGAGCTGATCTATGCCATTTTTCTTGACACTAATCAGTATTCCAAACATAGTGACCCGTTCCAGTCGGTCTAAAAATTATTAAAAACATATAATAAAAAATAAAAATACATTGAAAGCATACATCCAAATCAAATTTAAAAGGAGTTTAAAAAAATTGAATTTTAACAAATCGAGTTGTTCCCAAGAATATTTTCCTTTTTTGCGATGGGAAATGTAAAAACAAAAATACTTTTTTTTTTGCCAAAAAGGGTGCGGTCAAATAGTATTCAACAGTGGTTTAAAAGTCATCGAGTCGGTACGGAATCGACCAATTTGACCCGAAAATCGGCCGATTCGACCATTGGTTATCCCGTATCGATACCTATGTAAAATGGAGAATCGCCCGGTTCTTCTTTAGAATCGACGATTCTGAAGAGTAAATCGTTGCATGACGTCATGAATTGCCCGGCTGGCCCCCGTTATGTACATTGCATGACATCTTGAATCGTACAGGGCATTCTTGTAATTTTTGGGGTTAAAATGGGACACCTTGGTCATCGGAATCGCTCGGTTCTAGAGAAGAACCGGCGATTCTGTAAAGTAAATCGTTGCATGACGTCATGAATTGTCCAACCGTAAACTGCTGCATGACGTCATGAATCCCCGGTTGGCCCGATTCTGTACAGTAAATCGCTGCATGACATCTTGAATCGCTCGGTTGGTCCGGTTCTGTACAGTAAATCGCTGCATGACGTCATGAATCGCCCGGTTGGCCCGGTTCTGTACATTGCATGACGTCATGAATTGTACATGCCATTCTTGTACAAGGCATTCTTGTAATTTTTTGGGTTAAAATGAGACACATCATGAATCGCCCCGTTGGCCCGGTTCTGTACAGTCAATCGCTGCATGACGTCGTGAATAATCGGTTAGCCCGGTTCTGTACATGCATGATGTCATGAATCGTACAGGGCATTCTTGTAATTTTTTTGGCTGTACAGTAAATCGATGCATGACATCATGAATCGTCTAGTTGGCCCAGTTCTGTACATGCATGACATCATGAATCGTATAGGGCATTTTTGTAAATTTTTGGGTTGTACATGTACATGCATGACGTCATGAATCGTCCGGTTGGCCCAGTTCTGTACATGCATGACATCATGAATCGTACAGGGGCAATCTTGTAATCTTTTGGGTTGTACAGTAAATCGATGCATGATGTCATGAATCGTTCACTCGTCATGAATCATACAAGGTGTTCTTGTAATTTTTTGGATCGTCATGAATAGTACATGGCATTCTTGTAATTTTTTGGGTTAAAATGGGACACCTTGGTTTTATGCATGACGTTCTTGTAATTTTTTGGGTTAAAATGGGACACCATGGTTTCATGCATGAATTGTCCGGTCGTCATGAATTGTACAAGGCATTCTTGAATGCTCATTCGAACAAAACATGTTAGTGTTAGATCCTATTTCCGCTCCCTTCTGTTCCCCGTCAGCAGCTAGGGGAGCAATCCAAGGTATACAAAACCATCATTTCATTAGGTCCTCCAAAACAAAAGAGTGAATCTTTCGTGTGTATGGAACTCAACTCGTTCTATTCGTAACAAGTCTAATCTAAAAAAATAAGTATGTATTCATCACATATATCATAGCATAAGTATGTATTCATCATATATATCAGAGCAGAACCGTTCAGAGTACAAAATGTTTTTAGGACTAGGAGCAGAACTGTTCGGAGTACATAATGTTTTTAGGACTAGGACAAAAATTTCAAATTAAAACTTTAGGAGTACATAATGCTTTTAGGACTACGACAAATATTTCAAATTGACATATATCAGAGCATAAGTATGTATTCATCACATATATCAGAGCAGAACGGTTCAGAGTACAAAATGTTTTTAGGACTAGGAGCAGAACGTTTTTAGGACTAGGAGCAGAGTGGTTCGGAGTACATTATGTTTGTAGGAGTACATAATATTTTTAGGACTAGGACAAATATTTCAAATTGAAACTTTAGATACCCATAAATTCTTCTTTTGT